AATTAAAGCACATTCGCGTCGAAATCTGCTAATTACTTAGAGAAACATAATTTGCCTGTTTATACCGCGTCCGAGTTAAAACACGAAAGACGCAAAGGTATTGGAAACGTTAAAGAGGTTGTCCGGCCTTGTCCCGACCATTGATGGTACTGTTGGGTGTCTCTTTTTAAATGAGTCACTTGCTTTGAGCTGCTTATAACGGAACAGGTAGAGTATAGTCGGAGACAAAAGCATTTTTACCACACAAGACCAGTAATGAAGGGTTTCAATGCACGAGGTCACAGGTCAAGAAGCACGTCTGGGGTGGTAATGATAATTCCCGCTCCCGTGCTTCTTGCGTAATGCATCCACGAGAAACAGCTCGACTGAAAGAAAGTCCTGTAAACTGTCCCAAAGAGAGGATAAATTACACAATTGTAAGCCGATTATAGGCTTTAGTATTTGGTGACATATAAACTAATCGCACGAGCTTTGCGGAATGACGAAGTTTTATCCTGGTAAAAAATGAGATTAATAAACCCACCACAGCTAAGCGAAGCAAATAAATCGCCGATTTTAAGCGAAAAAATCACCTCTCTGTCCTTAGTTAACAAAAGTTCTCCCTACAACAATCAAAGTCGCCTATCACTTTGAAATTAAGTTGGTGACATTGATGAATGTCAAGTGACTGTTAATCATTATTGTCATTTTTGTAATCAAGTAGGCCACAAACTTTAATTTCTAATTTGGCAACACTGACTACCAAATTCAAACGTCAAATGGGCTGCCGCTGAAATTACCGTCACTTGGCACAGTTGCGGAATTAAAATTTCGGGCAGTACTGTCATTTTCATAATGTAAACTCTTAAACAACCTTTACATTAATAACCTCATTTTTTACTCTTATTATATTTATGTCATTTTGACTTAAAAAATAGCATCACCGACAGAAAAGTTTAATTGTCAAATGTCAGTTATGATAGGTAGTTTACAGTGAACTTTTGGAAGTGACAGAAAAATATTGCCCGAAATTTTAATTCCGTAACTATACCGGGTGGATGTCCGAATAGGGAATCTCCCAAACTAAGAGGTTTAGCCAAAAACGAGTAATACATTCTGGGGCTCATTTTTTGAGAAAATAATATTGGTTAAAACCGCATCCCGTTATCTAAATCTAAAAAAAATCATGTCATCGTTATTATAGAAGACACAGATTTGAAATAAAGACATTATGGAGGCACTTTTTTACATAGAATTTAATAATGTAGTTAATAATTTTTTTCAGTTGTTTGTTTAGCGGTAATAAGATAAACTTGTATTTTCTTAAATGGGCTATATGTCAGGTTGAAAAGCTTGTTTTTTTCTTATCTAAAAAATATATATTTGTAACAAATTATTATAATACATTTTTAGCAAAAAATTATCTTTGATTTTTGTTTGCAGTTGGCCATGAAAAAATGTTGCATCTTCAACTAAAAGGATTTAAACTATATTATTCAACCAGTGTCACTAATGTAATAGTCCGGTCAAAATAAACATTTTAAATAACTAAAATTCCGACAGAGCTAAATTTTGGTGGAGATATTGAGTACACCATTAGGAATAAAGTGTCAAAAGTCCCCATCGATCCCATGTGTGCTAAAAAAGTTATTCGGGGTCAAAGGTCGAAATTTGACGTTTTTTAGATTTTTTTCGAAAACGGTAAGTTTTATCAAAAAAGTAGCCCAGACAAAAAATATAGATCTTGAAATTATCTTGAAATGGTCCTTATACTTTTTTTCTAACAATCACCATTCCTGAGATATCGCGATTCTAAAAGTTGAAGGAGTCACGTTCTACATGGTATGCACATACAGAGTGCGTCAAAACTCCCGCTTCAAAGACAAATGCCATGTAGGGTAAGGTACCACAAACATAGAAAAAATTAAAAAAAAAATCTATCTATAAAAGTTTCAAAGTTATGAGAGTTTAAATTTTGCACTTTGACTCTATTTATTTCTGTAGGGAAAATAATTTTCCAAGTTTTTTTGCTACAGGCCATTAGAAGAAGAAACAAAAAAGCTGTGTCCTATATTGTACTTCTGTTCAATGTTATTTGTGGCTTTTATTGGCAAAACTTTTGTACCTTTACTAGATAATTGTAAAAAAACATATACAAAATCATCAGTATTATTAAATAGACATAAAAAATAGTCAAATGTCAAAAAACAAATGTCAAATTTTTTTGACAGATTAAATTTTTTAAACATTTTTTTTATGTTCCTGGTATCTTATTTTACTTGAAATTTTTCTTCTACTTCATTAAACTTATAAATATCTCGATTCCATTAGAATTAAAAAGAATTTATTTGGTAATACATACAGGTTGTTCAAAAAATCGCGCATTTCCTTGAAAGGGAGTAATTGGGTAGTCCCCAGAGTACTGAAAAAATGTTTAAAAAATTTTATCTGTCAAAAAATTTTGACATTTATTTTTTGACATTTGTCATTTTTTTATGTCTATTTAATAATACTGATGACCTTGTATATGTTTTTTTATAATTATTTGATAAAGGTACAAAAATTTTGTCAATAAAAGCTACAAATAACATTAAACAGAGTTACAACTTAGGATACAGCTTCTTTGTTTCCTTTTCTAATAACCTGTAGCAAAAAAACGTGGAAAATTATTTATCCTACAGAAATAAATAAGAGTCAAAGTGCAAAATTTAAACTCTCATAACTTCGAAATTTTTATAGATAGAATTTTTTTAATTTTTTTTATGTTCCTGGTACCTTACCCTACAAGGCATTTGTTTTTGGGGCGCGAGTTCTGGCGCACTCTGTATGTGCATATGATGTAGAACGTTACTCCTTCAACTTTTAAAATCGCGATATCTCAGGAATGGTGATTCTTGGAAAAAAAGTATAAAGATCATTTTGTAGATAATTTTAAGATCTATAATTTTCGTCTGAGCTACTTTTTTGATAAAACTTGCCGTTTTCGAAAAAAATCTAAAAAACGTCAAATATTGACCTTTGACCCCGAATAACTTTTTTAGCACACATGGGATCGATGGGCACTTTTGACACTTTATTTCTAATGGTATACCCAAGGTCTCCACCAAAATTTAGCTATGTCGGAATTTTCGTTATTTGACCACTATTTTTATGACTAATTTGACCGGACTATAAAGCAACTTATTGTCGACTAATAACATTTCTTTGTTTTTAAACAAGCTAACATTAGGTACCATTGTAACTTCTAGTGATACATAGAGTGTTGTAAAAAAAGCCGCTTTAATTTTTCAATAAAATATATTTAATTGACATTAAAATGACGATATGGCTATTCAAATATCCAAATTCCGTCTATGTGGAACGTTATCCTACCTCCATTAGATCATCAAAAAAATGTTTTTTTTATTGTCTTGACTGTTGACACATGTGTTTTTCCTATTTTTGGGTTTTTAAAAAAATTTTAATAATTTTGTTCTGAGGCGCTCGAATATTTGTTTCTAACGTATCGTATTTTTTAAGTTCTTATAATTTTATATATTTCTTCATCTATTTCACAGTTTACAAAACTCTTGATAATTATTTAGACATTTGGAGTGAAATAGTTTTTCCATGGCCAACTATTATCTAACAAAATATGTATTTCATTTTTTAAGTATAATTATAAAAAAATATTCTGTTACAAATATATATTTTTAGATCAGAAAAAAATAAGCTTATCAAAATTGCCATAGCCGCCTATGATTTCCATTTAAAAAATACAAGTTTATCATATTACGGCTAAACAAATAACTGAAAAAAATTGTTAACTACATTATTAAATTCCTCATAAAAAAATGCCTCTATAATGTCTATATTTCAAATCCGTATCTTCTATAATAACAAAGATATGAATTTTTTTAGATTTCTCCAAAATGTCAACTTTTGTCTGTAAGTCGAAAACAAAAGACGATAGCGGGATGCAGTTTTAACCAATATTATTTTCTCAAAAATAAGCCCCAGAATGTATCACTCGTTTTTGGCTAAACCTCTTAGTTTCGGAGATTCCCTATTCGGACATCCAAAATGCAGCACCCTGTACATACATACAGGCTTATTCATAAATATGAAGCAATATTTGAACCTCAAAAATGACCTATAAAATGATGTTAATTTAAATAATAACTCGTGTCCTATCTCTACTGATAAGAATTTTACAGCCCTCGGAATGTGGGTATAGAAATTTGATTTTTTTGTAATAACTTTGTAACTATTTGACTGACATCAAAATACGTATTGTCAAATTTAATCAAATTCGAACATGCCAGCAGTAAGTGCGTTTATTAAAATAAAAATTATCTCTCTGGTACAAGAACGTATGTCTCAAAGACGTGTCTCTATACTTTTGGGCATACCAAGGACTACTATTTCAAAGGACAAAGGTAAAAAGTAGCAAGAAGCATCGAACATTCTGTCAACATGACAAACATTAATCAAAATTCTGAATCAAGGTTAGGTAAACCTAAGGACTAATTTACACTTTTAATCTGTCAGGAAAATTGGGTGGACGAAATTCACTGTCCATCACTGTACAATCTAGTATTACAAAAATTCAGTGTACCTATTGCCAATATTTTTTCTCACAATTATTAAGAGTTTCGAGATATAATAATTATTGACAGGTCTCGTATCTATTTTCTTTTACGTTACTCAATGTTGCCAACTTAAATTCAGTCCCAGCCCACTTTGTTCAGAAATCTAATAAAGATATATGATATAGATCGTGGTTTAGAGCTGAAACAATTAAATTGAATATACGTAATCACGTGATCTTATCATTAGCCAATGATTCGATCTTTCTAGTTATTTTAAAACATTTTTAAAGCAGTGTTTGCCATTTTTTTCTGACTTTGAAACGTTTTTGTGTGAATCCCCTCGATGAAGCGAGTTCGAGCCGGCGCTGACCTTTTGTCTTTCCACAAAGTTGTAAACTTGATGACCGTAACGAAACATCGTAATGTTGCCATCCCCAAGAGCCCACTCACCGTTAATCCCCCGTTGGCCTTTCATCCGTCGTCCTACAGACGGCGACACGATCGCCAAGGGCCGGTCCGCCCTCAGCGAGGGCCTCTTCTCCGGCGTGACGACGGGCTCTGCGGCCACCTCCACATTTTCGGCCCACACCGCCTCCACCATCGAGTCGATGCTGGAGGAACGGGGCAGTCGGGAGTGGAAGGTGCCCCGTCTGAAAAACACGAGATGAGACGCTGAAAAAATCGGTTTGCTGGGGAAATGGGCGCTTTATTGACTTTTCAGGCCCCTAATGAACGTGCCGTGAGAATGGATGGATGTCGTGGAATCGATGCAGGTGACAGCAGGAAGGGTCACTAGCTTCATCACTAAACACCAGACAGTGACGTATCAAAGTTCAGCAACTTTCAGTTCGTTACACTGCGAAGCGAACTTTCATGCAACGGTTCAGGATTCAAGTTTTATTAACAGAGTTTGCAGATAAAAAGACAAAAAACGAAAATAAATAAAATAGTAGGTAATTCAAAAAAGAACACTGAATATAGACCAGGTGACTCAAGTTTTATCTGCACCTCCAAAACACTTCTTTTTACAGTGCGATCAAAAAGTCTTTCTATCAAGTAGGCGTCCTAGTTGAGGACGTATGTTGCATGACAGTTCGTATGTTATCTAGATGTCAAAAAATTATTTTATAAAAATTAAAACAAAGAGCTAATTAAATTGAATTATTCTATGAAACGTCTCAAAACAAACTAAAATAAGATTTTATTGGTGTGTATTCATAAAAATCGTTCACCACGGTTTCCTGTCATAATTTACATAAAAATTATTTTGACATTTCTGATTTGTCATTGTGTCATTTTATCTTCTGCAGACATACGTTTTAAATTTCTACGCTTGCTTGATAGACAGAGTTTTTGATCGCACTGTAGTAGTTAGACACATTTTATTGAACGTATAAAAATTTATACGTACAAATAAACGTACATTTTGTCCCAATTTTAAATCGATTTCTTGACTAATTAAGTTTTCCAAAAAATATACAGAGTGTGTCAGAACTCGCGCCCCAGAGAAAAATTTCTAGTTAGATAAGGTACCAGGAACATGGAAAAAGTGTATAAAAAATTCTATCTGTCAAAAAGTTTTGACATATATTGTCAAATGTCAAAAAAATTGACATATTTTTTGACATTTGACTTTTTTATGTCTATTTAATAATACTGATGATCTTGTGACTTGTATATGTAAGTATTTAGTATACGTACAAAAATTTTGCCAATAAAAACCACAAATAACATTAAACAGAGTTACAATTAGAATACAGCTTCCTTGTTTCCTCTTGTAATTAGCCTGTAGCAAAAAACTTAGAAATAGTACATTACAAGCGAGGTGGTATATATGGCATTACCCCGAGTGCTTATGTATACGATCGAGAGGCGCTAGCCTCGAGATCGGATAAAGCACAAGGGGTAATGCCATTACCACCGAGGTTTGTATGCTATTTTATTCACAATCACATTATTTTCAGTCAAAAATTTGAGTAAGATAAAATTCTAACAAAGTTAAGGTCCAACGTGGTAGGCCATCCAAATGACGTTTGATTTTTGACATTCAGAAATGTCAAAGAAAATATTGAAATAATGTGTAAATCTGATTTGAAGTCGTCGAAATGGAGCAATGTACTCCCCCAGAATTAAGAGAAACTGCTACAAAAGCAATTGAATACTAATTTAGCGAAGTATTATGCGTAACTTGACAATTTAAAAGAAAAAATTTCCGGTATTTTCGTAATTTTAACGTTGGCAATCCTGCATATTACCACCCAAGAGGAGTAACATTTATTACTCTTCATGAGAAATAATGACATGTTTCCCAACCTTAAAAAGGTTAGTAATCGGCAAATTACATTAGTGATTGTGAATAAAATATTTTTCTAACAGAAATAAATAGAGTCAAAGTGCAAAATTTAAACTCGCATAACTTCGAAATTTTTATAGATAGATTTTTTTAAACATTTTTCCATGTTCCTGGTATTTTACTTTACCTACCATGGCAGTTTTCTGGTGCACCCTGTATGTCGTTTGTTTTAATTGAGGTTTTGGGTCCTTTTGTGTTACCATTTAAGAAATATAAAAATGGATTTTGTTCAATAGAACTAATAAATTGCTTGAGAAATTTTTTTCCCAGTAAAAACTAGTTAGATATCAATTTAGTGTAATATAAATATTTCGTATTTGTTTTAGAAGAAATAAGTGTTTTGAGGGTGCATATAAAACTAGTCATCTGGTACATACCAAAAGCATTTAACTTGTTTTTTAATGCGGGTATTTGTGATTAAAATTGATTTGTTTTTTAATAAAAAGTATTTAAAAATTGTTTTTTATTTTGTTATTAACAATAATTTTCTTAATTTAATTTTTTCTTTTTTATTGAACCCTTAAAAGTAGTCTTGTGGTTCTTTTTTGTATAAGGGTCGGTTTCACCAACGTTAGTTAACTCTAACTTACAGTTAAAAACAATCGTTACTATAATATAATAATAATTGTTGTTGTGATCTTATTCGATAGTTAACTTTAACTTGTATTGGTGAAACCGGCCCTAAGTGTTCAAACTTCTTGTATAATTTATCAAACATCGTCAAGCAAAACGTTTAAAAATTTCGATATTTTCAAAATTAACTCTTTTATTTAAGCTTTATTTTATTCAAAAGAATTTTTCTATATCAGAAAACATCCTTAAAATTTAAAATCGTAACATTTGACAAGTTCTTATATCACAGAGATTACATCTATCTTCTGCCTTATTCAATGTTACCAACTTAATTTCAAAGTCTCAAGCCATTTTGATGGTATTTGTTAAAATAAATCGCCACTAATTGTGCTTTTCTGCTCGAATTAATAAAATCCTGTTAGATTAATGTAACTTCCTGCGAAAACCTGTTTATTTTATCTGGAAATTTATCACGACAACGCTTTATAACTTGGGTTAGCGCAATAAACAAGATGGTTAACCATTTACGAGCCCTCATTTTACATCTCTGTCAATTTGCGTGTATTTGGACTTGTGTTATCCCCATCTAGCAGAGCAAATAACGCATCAATTAGGGAATACTCCCTGCACAAACTTGCTTTGAATTGAGTTAAAACAATTTCGCATGTAGGTAACAAAAAAGAAAAGTTTCTTGTAACCCTGCTAGCAAGTTTCTCGAGTTATTTACTTACGGAAAATGCTGCAGTCGCAGAAAAGTCTAGTGTCTTTGCTCCGCCTTAATCAAGTTTAAAACTGGGACAATGAAAAAAATTATTTCGTTGGATTTTAAAACTTTAGACTTTGTTCTTGATTTAGATGAGCAAAGCCACGTATTTATCTGCGGCAACGAGCGTAAAATCATTAGAAATTAAGATTAAAAACTAATTGTTATAGAAAAAGCCTTGAAAATTGTGCATTGTTTTCTTATAAATAATGTTTTTTTAATTGGAATAAAAAATTATGTTGGCAACATTTTTGTATTAACATTTCACCAAAGCTTACCAAGAATAGAAAAATACTCCATAATGGATGAAGTAAAGTGGAAAGTACCTTATTCTTTTCAAAGATAAATAATTCAAATAATAACAGTGACAGGCCATTACATAGTGAATCGTAAATGTATGTCCCTATAAAACGGTTCGGTTGAACTGCGACTAATAGACAGTTGCTATGCCAACCCTAGTTATCGACACGGAACTTGAGCTAAAGTGTTTATGTTTAAATCATGACAGGGATCTAGTGTGAATAAGTCATAAATTAAATTAGATGTTTGAATTTTGCGCCATTTCTCACCCCATTTTGATCCCGAGTAACACATTGAGGATTTTCTCCCACAATTGCACCGCTTGCACGATCATTTCTTGACATTTATCAGAAAACAACTGAGCTAAAGTCGTGTTATCTTAAATGTATTTGGATTCGATTTGAGAGTTTACAATAGGGTGAAATCAATACGGTCCTGGTCATTGTCCTCTCCAGGTATTAATTAAAACCGAATAAATGATAAACCAAACTTTGTTATCGGATATGGAGAGTCGCAATTAATGTTTTGTTCTCCTTGTCAAACACACGCCGCTTTGATCTATGACTTTAAACTTCAAGCAAATACATATTGGGACAAAGTACAGTTGGGAGAGTGTCCCACTAAAAAATCAAAGTTTTACGATATACTAAAGTTGCAATAACCGATCCGGGGTTAGGTTATAGCCGCTCCCCCCACCACCACACGCCGTCTAACACACATTTTTACCTCTCCCAACTCAACCTCCTCGTCACATTCGAATCATCGGCCACAATTTGATTTTTCGACCCTCCCTGATTCAATAACTTTCCTAAACGATACAGAGCCGTACTGCTACTACTCGGACTCGAAATTCTATAGGCTCGAGCAGCGACCACGTGAGGTGCAGGCACTCTGAAACAAACAATAAAACGAATTAAACTTGAATTTAGGAGAAAATCTCCTGTTTACGATGTTTTTTCGGCTATGACAAAGATTTTTGTGTCTTCTTGTACGAAATCTTGGAGGTTCGGTGGCGTCTCTTCTCCCAAGTAGCACACTTTAGAACCCAAAAACCAAAATAGCAAATTGACTTATTTATTATTCACCTACAGTTTTGTTTACTCAAAGTTTTATAGAATTTTGAAAAAAAAATCGATTTATCAAATATTATGCAAAATTTTCAGAAGATTTCGCCTGCACAAATCGTTATCTGGGACCTATACTTTTTTTTTGTCAAATTATAAATGTCTCTGCAACCCTCGCTGTAACCGGAACAGCATGTTGCTGAATATTAGTCACAGGAGCTATAGTATCGCCATTAAATCTAGCGGCATGTTTTTCCGATTTTATGGGAGAGGTCTCCCAGGAAGGTTACACTTAGTATTTTTACTGTGACTTTGTTAGATGGGGAAGGTAAAATTTTAATCTTCCTGGAAGGTAATTGGTCACTTTCCATTCTGAATTAAGATGGAAAAACTGTAGAAAGTGTTCTTTCCAAAACCGGGTGATAAAAAGTATGCAACCAAACGTTTTTTACTTTTTTAAATGGTAACCCACTATTATTCTCATGAAGATTATGATCTAAAAATTACAACTATTTACTTTATACTTATTTCATTAAAAAATACTTACATAAACTGCAATTTTAACAAAAAAATCGCATACCTAAAATAAAATTTAAAATAAAATTGTTCACATTTTTTATATTACTTTAATTTATATTAATTATTATTTTCTGGGGGAAATGATTAAAAAAAACACTTGGTTCCATACTTTATATTCACCCTGTGTATCTTACTATTGTTATAATTTAAAACATGTACGCAGTTATAATAAGTAGGTAGTAAAGAAAGTACATAAATAAATAGTAAAATAACAAATAAACATATTTGTAAAATCGTTATTATTCCTAAAAAAGTACAAAAAAGTTGCAATTATCAATTCAATATCAGTTTATCACAATTATACACCACTTCTTATTTATATTTATGCCTTAATAAATATTTATTTCCGGACACTTGTTACTATAAAACAACCGAAATTTTTGTACTTACAGCACTATTCTTGAAGCAATAATTATCAACAATGGCCAAAATCCTACTAAAGGTAATAAACAAACTATTTATTTTGTAAAATGTTGTAATTTCTTGGACTGTGATTGATAAGAGAAAGGTTATAGTTCATTTAAAAACTTCAGTATAATATGACGTTTATATCTGAAGAAAATGAAAATGTACCATTGAAACGTCATATTATACTGAAGTTTTTAACTGGACTTTATTTTTCCCTTGACCTTTCTCTTATTAAATACATTGTTTCAGGCATTTATAATAACCGCTTTAATGGTATATTTTGCCTACGCTCTCCCTCAAAAAGGTAATTTTTTTTCAAAGTAGATATTTGAAAATTTACAAGATGTCTGTTTTTAGAGGAGCAAGATCGAGCCCCGAAATAAGATTACGCATTTATAAAAAAAGAAGCAAGGATACATGAAAAGGAATGAAGCTTTGTTAGAACACTATATTAAACTATTTGCAAACTAAAAAAGCATTTTTAATTACAAAAAATTCTAAATTAATAAGAAAAAAACACAGTCTAGTACCTACAGTTATTTCTGTAATTAGGACTCATATAAATAAAAAACTGAAAAGTCATAAATCTGAATTTTCAAAGACAAAAACTTGTTTAAAAAAGTAGTTGAAAATACAAACTAATGAGGTACCAATTTAAATTACTTTTACAGAATTAATTTAACAATACACCGGGTGCGGATTTATCAACAATTGTTGATAAAGTATACCTATTCGAGAATTTAATTTTTATTGTTAATAACTACCTGATATATGGTCGTAAAAAACAGATAAGAAAATAAATATAGTACCTATGTTGAAGTATGTAGGTACAAGTTTTAGAAAGCATCCATTCGTGCAAGAGTTTGAAGTTACAAAACAAACCGCGTAGCGGCGAGTTGAGGAAGTTTTTTATTTCATGTTTTCAATTTTGCACTCTTTATGCCATTTTTAAAGAAAAAAATTAAAATTTCTTACGTACGTAACAATATTATTCATGATGGCGTTGGAAAATTCAATTCGAACTGACATTTGTCATTGTGCGTAATCTGAAAATGTATTCTCACGATTTTTTCATGTTCGCCACCACATTCGGGAAACTGGTAAATTTATTGAAAGCAATTTACTTTTCATCGTCATTAAAAACAAAAAATACCATGATAAAAAGCTGTTACGCACCCAAACGAGTTTCTAAAATAGCCTGGTTTAAGATGTAAAATAAAAAAAACACACTGATTTTTTCTCTTTTGCGTTTTATTTGAAACTAACAAAATTTTTACTTCATATTATTTATAATAGGTATTACGTAGGATGTAGCATAAAATTTTGTTGATTGGATGCCGGTTTTGTTTTTACTAATTTTTAAAATTAAAAACGTGTTTTTAAAGTTTAAAAAATTTCGAACTTTTCAAACGCTGTTTATAAAAATTTCCGTTTCTACATTATTCAGTTTTGCCAACATTATTTCAAAGTCACAGACTACTTTGATCAGAAATTTAACAGAATTTGTCGTATAGGTGAAGTCTGTTTTTTCTTTAAATGGAAATTACCAAGTCAAACTTTTGGTGAAAAAATTGGTAGCAGCTTGTCTCCATAGCCACAAATTTTGTTTCTTCTTTGTTTTTGTCCCTAAAAATTGTGTTAAAAAATTATGGTTATGTTTTCAAATTGAGATGTTGTCAAAATTTTGACTTTTATGAATCTTGTGTGCCTGTTTGCTCTTTGAAAGCGCTATAATTGAATACCTGAGGACAGACATCATTACCTATGGTCTAAAGACAGAATTCAGTCTAATAATTTTGGTAGAAACACACCGCAAGTAAGTACAATGTTGTGGACAAAAATGAGGTTCTTGCTACAAAAACTTTGAAGAAAAAGGATGTTTATAAGGAAAAAAGTTATTTAGCAAAAGATACAAGTAGGTATTATAATGATTGGCAATAAATTTTGTGTAATGTATTGAAATGAGTTCAAAGTTGATGCATTTTATAAATTCTTCTTCAGGTTTAGGTTCAAAATTGTTACTTTTTCGACTCGTTCCTCAGGTTCTTTCTCATTCATGTTTATTTTGTATTCTTGTTAATTTCTTGCTAAAAATTGAGAATGTTTAGCAAACTGCATTACAAATTGCGTCTACATTTTAACGGGCCCTTTTTCTAACTTCCTGCTTGCGAACTATTCGTTTCCAAATTTCGAAAAACTGTTAGTGTACCGAATTTGTTTCTTTTTTGGTGTTTCGTCTCTAAATTTTCTTACACGATTTTTTGTGTTGACGTTTAATGACATTGTTTTCAAATTAATTGAAAAAATCGGAACTGCCAACTCCCTTTATTAAAATTACCATGAATGAATTTACTAGTGGTGCCAACTTTAAGACTGTTTTGCATTTCTATTTAAAAAAAAACAGACTTTATACTTTTTTTCGTAGTATACAGAGTGATTCAGATAAGATAATGAGCCCGACGTTCTAGCAATGCAACTCAAAAAACAAATTTCATTTACGTCTTGATCTAATTTTAATTACGATTTGCATTTGCAATCCAAGTTGTCTGACAGTGCAATTTATGATTTATAAAAAAAAAAATGTTTGTCTACTTTTAAAGTTTCATTCTTTCATACACTCTTTATTGGGTTTACACCGAAAAGACTTCTTTCATTTCTCTCATTCCGCTAGAACTAATGCTCTCTGCACTGATGTCAGAGTGCCAGATCGTCAGATCGTCAGGCTCATTATTTTATCTGAATCGCCCTGTACTTCTAATCCCGTCAAAATCATTGATGATTTTGTCGAATACTTTGTTGTGTAATTAATTAAAATTTTCGCTTAAAACCTTGATAAAGTTCTCCTTTTCGGCACCCGTTTTCGGGCCACGTCCTCGTAAGAAAAGCAAAGGCCTCCTCTCAAGTGCATAATTAGTCGTTTCCACTGAAAACGAATTCTCTCACCTGAGTAGCAACGTTCCGTCAGCTCCCCTTTCAGGGCCGTAATTTCCCGTGCTGCAGAGTCGACTCACGGCCGATTTTCGCCGCATATCCAAGGCGACGCTGTCGTCTCGGCTGAAGGAGACTCTCGCGGAGAGGAAGCGCGAGGAGAGTCCAGTAGGTCGGCTGGGACCAGTCACATCTGGAACATTTTCCAAAATAAAATGTTGAAATTTGGGATTTTGGAGTGGTTAGGCACCTGGAGAACAGTTGCCGAGTTGGGCTTGAAGGATGCTCACTCCGGGAACCACAATGGCGGGTAAAGTACGCGACCGGAGCAATGGCGGGGGTTTTCTTCCGGTCCGAGTGGCTCCTTCTAAGCCGGCACATGATGCTCTTTGGTCGATTCGGCTTGCTGCAAGTTGGGCACTGCAACGAAAAGATTAATTAATTTTTTTTTTTAATTCTGATTTAACTCGTATTTTTCAAATGATATTTATTGAATATTATCTAATAGATGACACTTATTTTTTTTGTTATATGTTATGAAAGTATTTATTAAATATTTTGCTTAACAATATAACAATTACTGTACGGAGTGAAATTAGTTGGGTTCAACATTGAATCAAATAAATGTAATTTTTAACGGTGAGCTATGCAACCAAATGTACAGTGTGAGGTAGAAAAATGTATTCAGCAATTTTATCTCGGGTATTTTTTTTGTTTTCTCTTCAAGTTATCGATATCTTATTATCTGTAAACGGTGAAACATATTAGTTTCGTGTCAAATGTGTTAGTAATTGAGTTGTTTAAAAATTAAAAGCCTTTTTCAATTTTTAATTTAATCAAATCAAATGTTTCGGAAAATAATTACGTCGGTTACTAGTCCTTTTAGAGCTAAGGTGATATAAAATTATGTGTTAACTAGATATTATATTGTTGCTTTTATTAGTTGTAATGTGAACAATTATTACTAAAATTATAAAAAAATTACTTAAACGAGGTTATGTTGTATCGTCGGACGAGATTGTAGCTCGTAGCCATAGGCGTGCTTGGAGGGGGAGGGGTTACAATTTTTAAATAATTTTTCAAATGTTTATCTCAGTTTTAAGTTTAAAAGTATGTTTATAGCCTATATTATTATACTCGTAATATACTTCCGTCATCTAATTCCACAACATTGCATTATGATCATAGCGTATACACAGTGTGTTTACAAATTAAACTACAGTAGGGTTAATAACAGTTAAATTATAGACAAGTATGAACCTTCTTTACGTGCACTGCAGACAACATTAACTTTTACTGTAGATATTAAGGCCGGTTTCACCGATATCAGTTAACTTTATTTGAAGATTAACTAGTTAAAATTATTATTTTTAATAGGAACCTATATTTAATTTAAATTAATTTGGTGCATAAATTTATAGCAGCTTTTGAACATTATATTTTTCTTACAGGAAGACGAGTGTGACGACGTTAAGAAGAAATTGGAGAAACTCTACCGTGGCATTACACCGACAGATACAGAAAAAAAACGTTTTAAGAATTACAAAGAATTTAAATCTATTTTAATGAAAATAGATAAATTTAATGCAACTGAGAGAAATAAATTATACTCGTATTCTTACACTTTAGAACTTATAAGTTATTTCAAAAAGTATGGGTTTATGAAAGTTGAAGAAAATTTTACTTTACCATTACAACATACACCGGGAACGTCTACCACAATTAGAGGTGACCAAAGAGAACTACATCAAGAGCCACAAAAAACAGAACCCAAGCAGAGTCAACGCAAACCAAGAAACCCTGTTGTTGTCGATTTTCAAAATGAAAGACGCAAAAGTTTAGAAACAAAGCACCGGGGAAATTTACCACAACCTCACAGTTATAATCATCGTAAATCTTCTCAAGAATTGTCAAAGAATTGTTACGATGGTGAAGAAAATTACAAACACTTTGTTTCAAATCCAAGTTCGAGTTTTAATTATGAGCAACTTTCAGATAATTGTTCAAACAGGGAAGAACCTATGGAGGTTGATGATTATGAAACTACTACGAATGCTCAAGAGACAAGTAGTTTACTCCATCAGCAACAAATAGAGAACGTGGGACAACAATTTAAAAACGAAAACAAAGAAATGACATGTTTTCCAAAATATGTGGAGCGTAGTGTTTGCCAAAGTAATATCAAAAAAGACCAAGATATGTTTTGGCAACAAAACCCATATCTACAAACAAGTCACTCTTCTATTAATCAGAAGCAGGATTTTGAACAACTTGTAGAAACTGATAATCAACTTGAGGATCTGGGTTTACGAACCGGTCTGGGTAAAGTAAGAAAGTACGAGAACCGAAAAAAGAAGGCGTCAGTTGATCAGAACAAAAAAACTTTCAGTATTGAAAATGGCATTCTAGAAATTTCATCAGGTTTCGAACGAAAAATTTCTACAACGGATCAAATCATCGATGTTGGACAAAACTTAAATAAAAAAGAGAACTATTCTCAAAGTTTTCATAATCAAGGCACATCTAAAAACGTGTTTCCAAATCATGGACAAACATTTCCTACTTTGTATAAGCAGGAAACTAAACCAAATGAGTTAAATCAAAAACCAGAAGTTCGGGGCCGAGGAAGATATTACCAAAAAAGTGTGCCATACAGGGAAAACAGAAGTAGTTCACTTCGTAAGCAGAATAACAACACTAAAGAATTCACAAAGTTGCAAGAGACTGGTTCTGCTGAGCAGTCAAGTAGTTATAACTACCGCCAAGATCTCAAACACAGTTCTTATCCAGCAGTTAACAACAATAATTATGGTCAAAAAAATTATTTCCATCGCCATAGGGGGGACATAGAAGACAATCGTCAGCAGAAAACAACGACTGCAGTTGAGGAATATCAGGAGAAGCCTGTAGAAAAAGCAGAAGAAGCAAAAGAAGAACCACCGCTGGAAATTCTTGACGTTCATCAATTCTTCTGTGATGATTTCGACATCAATAGTTTGAGCCAAATTGAAAGTAACACCGAAAAAATCGGTACAATTGCAAACTGGGCCCAAACTTTTCACACCAAAGTGTCCCACTTTCGAGAATCGAAAGATTCAATCGAGTATTTTGTCTTGGACGAAAAATTAATGCGTCTCATTGAAGCCATTGACAAGATCAAATGCCACCAAGAACCAGAAGTTATGAAAAGGAAAATTCAAGTGATAGAGTTTATTAATCATTTACACACTATTCTAGATTCAAGAGCAACGGAATAAACGAAAATTTCTGATTAGTGTTTTATTAACCACACATTTTCTTATCCAACTTCTGTAAGGTCCCTTGTGCGAACACGATTGCATCTTTCCGGGCTTCCCTAATCTTCCGGTTATTTTTCGGATCCATATTATCGAGTTTGATTATCAATTGCATTAAATACTCGGCGTAGTTCTCAAAAAGGGATGAATCTGTCGTTTCATCGATTTTGTCCGAAGTTTTCTCGACTTCATCCACTAAATTACCAATTTCTTTTAAAGTCGTTTCCTCATAATCCATCACTTTTTTCGTCAAACTATCAACTTGCGGTTTCGACTCATCGTTTTCTTCGTCTGAATCATCATCCAGCGATCCTAAAACGTACTCCGTGTTTCTTGCATTGCCATTATTTTTGCTACAACTTGCCATAATTCTTGACAGGAATTTTGTCAGCTTTGACAAATAACGATTTAAGTGCATTACTGATAAGGTTTTATCTCTCTTGTCTAAGTGACTTGTGATAAAACTTCTAGTCAGGTAACTAATTTTCCAGACATGACATCCAGATTACACCACATTTCCAAAGAGCTGGAAAAATGTGTCGAATTTTTAGAAGACGATGTTAAAAAGAGCCTCAGCCAAGTCTCCCAAAAATTGGACGACAACCTTGTGGCTTTGGAAGCAAGTAAAGATTATCATTACAAACAGATCTTGATACAGCTTCAACAAATCAAAGACTGCATCAAGATAATTGCAACTCATGACCAGAGTTTACAGTCGTTACAAGGCAAGATTAACAATAGTTCAAGAATTGATAAGAGTTATATAAAGAAGCAAGTTGAGACGTTCCAGAATTTTGGGACGGTTACCACAAGGGAACATAAGCCGATTAGATCAAGACAATCCCAAATGAAGTGTCTGGAATGTTGGGAACAGTTAATGGAGTCGCCGGAACAACTCAACATTCCCAAAAGAAGTAACAGTTCTAGGAAGTTGAAGAAAATTGTTTCCTCAACTTTTGAGACGTTTTTGGACAGTGTTGAAGCAACAAATGACGAAGTTGAGCTTCCGGAGGGAATTGAAGAAGAAGAAATGGATACTAAGCCTCGAATAGTTGATGTTATTGTGAGTTATTAAAACTGTGTTAATTCTCGTTAATTATTTCTGTTGTTTTTAGTACAAAAAGGACATAAATGAGGAAATTTAGGTTCTCCCTATTGTTATTATATCTTATCACTTATCAGTTGATAAATTGTTCAGTTGTGGGATCGAACTTCACATTTTGCGTCTACATCTTACTAAACTGTGTTATTAAAACCCGAGATACGTTATCAGTGGAACGAGAACAAGTTGTTTAAAACGTGCCAAATCGCGTCCAACTACCATAATGGGTGTGTCTGTGTCAAAATCACCTCTGGAGCGCCGTAACACCGTCCTTCGTCGAAGTCAACGAAAATCCATCCATGGAGTCAAGTCAAAATCCGACAAAATCATCAAAGAAATAAAAAAATTTAAAGGAAGTGACGAATCGTCTTACCTCGCCCTCAAAACAAAAATCGACGCCCTCGAACGTGACCTGAAACTCACTTCAAAAAACCTCCAACCTCAATTAAGACCCATTTACGAGGAGACTCTCAAGAAAACCCAACAGTGCTACCAACTCCTCGACGACAAACTCAAGGAAAACCAAGCTGAAGCAACACCACCCCCTGACAACAACAACGAAGAAAACAACGACGACGTCTTCGTCGAAGAAGTCCACCCACCCCAATCGCCGAAAAAAGTCGAATTAACCCTCGTGCAAGTCGAGCCAATCGAGGCGAGTCCTCAGATCAACAAACGCTTCTCGGCGATGAAACTCGGGGTCCCCGTCCTCCCCGGGAGCATGCTTGAAAGCATCAACCGCAAATCGCAAGATTCGCTGGATAAAATCACAAATATGAGACAAGAAATCCAGAAATTGGAGTTGGAGATAAGCCAGTTCGTCGGGAAGAAAAACGGGAGGCATTACAACAGGATTAAGAGACTGTTGGAGGGGTATTTGAACGAATTGAGGAGCATTGCACCTCCCGATGATGAAGTCGCCGAACAAGTGAAGTTGAATTGTAATTATGTGGGGAGTTGTTTGACGTTTTTGGATGAGAAGGCGGTGGATGATGGGGAGGATGATGATTATGACGAGGTGCCGACGCCGAGGCCGGTGGAGGAGAGCAATTTGTCGCCGAGGAGCATGAGAACGACTTATATTTAGTTTTTTGTTAAATTGGGTGGAGTGGCCGATTTTTTCACGATTGTTATCTTGTTTGTACCTACGTTTAAATAAAACAGACTGATAAAAATATTTGTTTAGTTTAGATAACCCAACATACAGCCGAGCATTTTTTCTAATAAAATATTAGCATTTTCATTAAGTATTAGACAAATTTGTTTGATTAAAAATAACACATTGAGAATGTTATACATATGTGTATGCTTGGTTGCATATTGTAGATATTTGTATATAATAAACTTAGTCTTAAGCTGACTCTTAAGTTGATTGCATGGTGC